TAGAAAGAAATTACAAACCAGAAAATGCCATTTACTGATTGATGACTGTAGCTAAATCTTACAAGGTAAGATCTGTCATGTTTCTATTTAATTCTCTAGGGGAGTTTTTTATTTTCCTAAACCAAGCCATAAATTCCCCTCAAACTGTCATGGTAGGATTTGAACTTAGACACAATCTGAGAATTCGGGATACCTTGACATTAATATTTGTTTGTAGGACTAAAAATCCTAGTGGTGGGAGGGCAGAAAAGCCTGAAAACCATTTACCCTAGACATGTGTACATTTGTGTTTGTATTTAAAAAATGAAAGTTTAAAACATGAATGTAATGTTTTTATAGGACATTACATAAATATAGACAGTATTTTTATAGAAATCTGTAGGCATAGAAAATATAAGCAGTTGTGCCTAATGCATTTGAGGAGGGATTAATTCCTAGAGGTAGGACAATTGAAATCCAAAATAAAAGCTGACTTTACTTACTTAAAAGAAATGAACTGTCCCCTGAGAATTTAGAAATGAAGGGTAGGCTACACAGCCTGAAGATTTCCAGTTTAGTATTTAAAAGGAGAAAACATTAAGGGCAATATGTAAAGCTTATATACTGTTAATTACATATAATTCTTTCTTGTGGAGAAAAACAATATACAGCAGGTACTTGAACTTCGTTATAGTGTTGGTGAGAAAAGACAATCCCTCTGACTTTGAAGGAAATCAAGTTCCTGGAGGAATTGTTTTCTTTGTACTGTTTTTGTATTAAGTTGCAGTTTCCAGGAGCCTCTGTATTATGTTAAGTGAGGACTTATTATATTGGATTTGTTTCCTTTGTTCTGCTGTTGTCATCACTATCATCTTATTTGTTGACTGTTTACTCTGTATCATGCACTGTGTTAATTAAGAACAGTGGATCCTCTCATTTATTTCTCATAGCAACCCTATGAGGTAGGTAGTAAGTAGTACACTCCCCATTTTATTATATATGTAGAAATTAGCGTAGAAAGGTTATATACCATCTCTGAAGTAATCTGGCTAGTAAGAAAACAGAGCCAAGGTTTGAACAGAGTTTTCTGTCTTTAGAGCAAGGGATTTTGAAAGACTTGTTTTAGTTGTTTGATTTTCAACCTTAGGGGTCCATGGAAGAAGGTAAATAATAGATTATGAGGAAGCAAGTCCTTGAGGAGAAGATGGCCAGAGCAGCTGTTAGGCTTGTTTTGTTCTTTGTCATTAATCTCTAGGATTAGATGTTTTCCCTCTTACCAGTGGAAATCTAGACACAGTCACACATTTTGAGTTATAGTTGGAAACTCCTAGACTAAAGGTCCTCTGAGGTATTTTACTTAAAAAAAAAAAGGATATTTTCTATTGCTTATAATTTTGATGTAATCTCTGAAAATCTAGAATTTAAAGTATTAACAAGATGACAAGAAAATATGGATTCCTTGGTTACATCAGGTTTCCAAAGTTTATGACTTTTAATTTAGCTTTCATGTGTATAGCTTCTTTGATTTGGAAAGATTGCCTGCTCTGTCTGATGAAGCATAAACTGTCAGTCCCACAAGGCAAAGCAAGATGTAAAATTTCTAAGTTATAGCATGGCTTACTAATTTTTCTAAAATGATGTATTCAAATGAGATTTTCTTTATTTTTCATATACATTTTTTCATTTTGAAGTTAGCACATTGTTTTTCTTTTTGAAAGTTGTTATAGAAAACTCAGGAAGTAACAGTGTTCTTCCTTTTTAATAAATTTTTAAATTGATGTGTAGACAAATACGGTTTTTATAGTGGTATAGAACAGTTTTTCAATTTCAGAAAGTTTTTCTTTATGATAAATGTTAATTCATATTCACAAATGAACAGTGAAGAAAATAGTTATATTCTGTTGTAATTAGCATTATTTCATTATGGATAATAATAAAGCACTGTTCTACTTTATTCCATGACTTAAATTGCCTAAGTTGATGTGACACAAAAATTTCTTCCTCTGTCTAAAACATGTTTTCATGGAAAGAGATATATATATTGCTTTGGTAATGTGCATTGCTTGGAACTATTTTATTTAAATGTGCTTTTTGGAAATATTTCAATTTTTTTAAAATTTAAGTATTGAAATACTGTTTCTAGTCACTGTTCTGGGCACGCAAAAATGGATATGACATGGTTTCTATATCTGAGAAGTTTCCAGTTGAGTGAAAGAGTAGTTTATGTAGAAAGATATGTATAATATAGTTGTTAAGAGCTGTCATTGGGAGTTGCATAACTTGCTAATGGAGGTCACAAATGGAAATGATCAATTAACTGTATGGAGGAGAGGAAAGGTAAAAAAAAAAAAGCCTTGTTGTTTCCTTTGTAAAATCAAACAAGGTCCTCCAGGTGTTGACTGATGATTTTAAGTAGACATGCTTCCTTCTGGGATTTTTTCCCCCCCTTCATAAATCTTTTGCTTACAAGATATTGCTACTTTGTTGTAACAATTAACATTAGAAAGTTGGTAGTTGAGTGAATCTGTAAGGGAAAGATGGATCCCAGTGTCAGGATTTGAGTCTATGGAGATTCTTCTGTCCCCAGCCTTATACTTTCTTAATTTCTGCAAGGCAGTTGTATTTTTTTGTTTCTTTGATTTTTATGAAGGTTTCACAGAGAAGTCACTACCTGAGATGTACTTTGAAAGGTAAGTAGAATTTCTGGGAAGGAGGTAAGTATCATCATGGGAGACTCACAGAGAGTTAGAAATTGAAGATGACTCAATAGTCTTCTAGTATGGGGTGAATGATAATACTGTTAAACAAGAAGAGAAATATAGAGGTGTAACTGGAGTCTGGGGACTCTGTTTGGACTTTATAATTTGGGCAGTCTTTGGGAATTTCATTAATTTTTTTTGATTCTTTACATTAAAAGTAGTTATTCACCTTACATGCCCAGGTGTTAAAAACATAGAAACAGAATGGTCTCCAAATGTTTGTAAACTTTTGGAGGGAGAGTTAAGTAAATAATTGTAATACATATTTAAATATTCTGTGACAGAAATAATCACATGGTATGATGTGGAAACTTGGGAGTTTTGATCATCTCATGAAAAAGAGGGTAGGAATTGGGAGAAAGATGAGGAGTGGTAGGAAAGAATTCCTGTTAGATAGCCCCACAGGGTTCAAGAGTTGTTTTGAAGTATGAGTTAACCAGATGGCAAAATGTGGAAAGAGAGGGAAACAGTGCAGGCAGAAATAGTTGCTTATAAAATGCTTTGAAGTTGTGAGTAAATAATCTATGTATAGGGCTTTGCTTGTGGTTGAGTTTAATTCATAGAAACTGTAATAGTGGGGATTGATAGTGACCTGTAGATCATGTGAGACTATTGATTTTTATCTATAGCCCTATAGGTAGTGTTGGGAAGCTAGTGAAGAATCTTGAACAGGGGAATGACTTAATCAGATGAGATGTTCAGCAAACAGTTAGAAAAACAGTTGGGGTTAGATTATATATTTGACTAGGGGTTATAATAATGGATAAAAAGTGATTCCTGCTTAGTTGTGGAAAGAGGTACACAAGAGTTACATTACATGCTAAGTGTCATTGTATGAAGTGCTATGGATTCAGTATGGAAATGGCGGAAGTGACTTGTGACTGCACTAGGGAGCCATTTGACGAATGGATGATATTTGTAACTGAGCATAATAATGAGATTTTTCTAGGCCAGGAATATGAGGACAGAGATTAAATAACTGAAGTTTTTTTTATTTTCCAGATCTAGTGTGCTGGAAAAAAGTAACCATCATAGGATAATGGTTGAAGATCTTCTAAAAGCTACATTTTGAGCACTGAGTAGGGTGTTAAAGTCTAAAGAGAGATTTAGGGATCATCACATAATGGAGTTGTGGGAGCGCTGGACATCTCCAAGGATAAACAATATTTTTGGGGTTTAAAAACCTGAGGATTCAAAAATAAGGTCATGTTAATAGCCTCCACACAACATTTCTACCACGTTACCCACATCTGCATTGTAGAAAATGTACAAATAATTCCAGAATCTTCAAAAGGAGCAGATCTCTATTGCTTTAGCAACTTGTGGTTGTCTTACATCCAGTTTCCTCATCTCCAACCTCAACCCCCCTGCCTCCTTTGTGGTTATGGCTCCATTTACTGCCATTGTTTATTGAGGTGGATGTCCTTAGTTGTGGTTTGGCACCTCTCCCAGAGAAAGTGCTGTTTTTCCCAATGACAATCTCAGAGACTCTGCAGAAGAAAGTAGTGAGAAAACTCTCCTAGTTTTTCTTAATGTTTTGTCTCACCAGTCCCACCTCATGCCTCAGACTTGTTATCCACAGGCTCCGTCTGTATCCCAGTCCAAGTGACAGGTATATTGGTTTAATGGTTCTGCAATCAGATTTTTGTGCTTGGGTTGTTCCCAAACTTCAGTTTCTTGATTCTTGCCCCATCCACCCATGGGCACATGTGGACTAGTCTAAGCATAGTAGGTATAAACTGGGACCAGGACCTTCGCTGCATGATCTCTGGAAAAGAGTGGTCCCGACAGAAAACCCCACATTCTCCAGGATTGTTCCACGTCTTGTTTCTTCTATTCCCTTTGCTTCATATGGGTGCTTTTGGGGTTAATTTTTTATTTTTCTCAGATAGAACAATGAGGTATACTGTGATAGTGGGATTAAATCCTATGTGAATATTCTTTTGGGAGGTTTGATTCACTCTGTATTTTTAATTTTTCTTAAAGCTTTCCATACCTATTTACTGGAGTTTAGTAAAGATTTGAATGTCTAGCACATGTTCCTTTCAAATGAGTATTGGTAATGTATTTTTTCTCTGGTTCACCTGTGAAGAATCCCAATGAGCCTTTTTGAAAACTCATCATTTGCAGTTACTTTAGAACAGCAATTTATTGAAAGGTACTATATTAGAAATGTTTTATTGCACTGCATAGAGCTATGAAGTGCAAGGAACCATGAAGATTGAAAAATACAAATGATAGATGTGTCTCTCTATTTTTTAGCCTTCTTTGAATCCTGGGGGGAGCCAGTCATCTGATGTGGTGCTTTTGAACCACTGGAAAATGAGGAATTTTGAAGTACAACGTGGTGACATTGTATCATTGGTGTAAGTAAACAGAAACACACTATATTTTTTAAAATTTGTAAAGTTATTCACAATAATGCTTAATTAGCTGGTAAGCCACTGTTAATGCCATGCTGTGAATTATTAAATTAGTGGGTATATTTAAAATATAACACCTTTAGAAATTTGATATGGAAAATGCTATAGAAAGGATTCTTTTATATTTAAAGTATATCAGTTCATTGACATGCTTGGATCTGGTAAATGCATTTAATAAAATGTTGATTAGAAATTATATTCATGACCCAGAGTATAAGCATTTGGTATTATTTTGAATTAATTTGAAATTTTACATCTTGTAATCAACTTTTATGTTACTCTCATGCTTTCTTAGGTTGTGTAGTTACAAAATATTCCTAGAATATAATTATGAAATTCAGTGACACACATACATGTATATATACATACAAAGATCTATCAGAAATTTAACTGAAAAAAGGAAAGTTTAGAAGACAAGTCAAATGGAGGCTTTTGTTTGGGACCAAAAGGTGGCACTGTTTCTCTGTTAAAATATTACGACTGCTTAGGAACCAAAATTTTATTTCAATTTTAAGGTAGAAAAGGAATGTCAAGGTGTGTATAACTGACACAATAATATAATACATAATCCTGGTACATGCTTAAATTGTGTTTAGATTTGAAATTTTTGTTTGTTTTCAAAATAAATTCACGCTAAGAAAACTAACAGAACCTGTCTAATTTCTAATGGCTTCAACTACTTATAAAAATATTTTAATATGATTCCCTGTTATGCCATTTGGTGCATTGGAGTAACAATTAATGTAGCAGTTACTGTCATTTGTTTTAACCCGTAGTAAAATCCTACTGTTTTGTGAAGACTTTCAGTTTTTATTTCAGACTCTTTTCAGGAATGATTATTTTTGTTAGATGATAATTTATAATTGTCTGGTAGATGCTCCCCTTTGGCCAGTGCTTCTTGAAAATAGATTTTTTATAAATGTTTCTCTGCCAGGACTGTTCCACTAGGAGTCATTTAAAAACAAATGTACCAAACATGGCTAGTAACTAATGAAATAAATATGTTTGAATGGAGTTTTGCATGGTAGATATCTGCGGATGGCAATTGAATGCTTCTCATGTTCTTGAATGTTTTTAAAAATGTTAACCTATTCTTCGGAGTATACTTTTATTTTGTCATTCAGAATACTGTTTTTGCAACCTCCTTAACAACCTTCTCCATGCTGGGTTAGCCTGTCGTGTGCTCATTATTCTTTTGCCTTTGGTTTGACAAGGTTACATCCTCACTTAGTCGGTGATGGAGAGGATACCCACCCCAGTGAAAGAGGTCACACTATAAGCAGACAATTGTGCAAATTTTTTTTTTTTTAACATGAGAAGAATGCTATCTTTAAGCAAGTGAATTTGAGTAGGTAATTGGGAAAAAGGCTCCTTGAACTTAAAGATTGAGTCCATAAAAGTCTTCTGCATATCATGGACTATGTGTGCATATGATGGACTATGTGAAAAAGAAAACACTATCTTTTATGAAAATATTAAAGTGGTTAATATTTGCAATTAAATTAATTTCAAAGTATATTACTTCTTTTGAACTTTGATTTTAATGAGTTGACTATTTTTATTCCTGTCATGTGTAAATAGCACAAATTTTCTTTTCTAATGCTTGTCACTAGCAGGAGTCATTTGAATAAAAAATGCTAAGTGGCCAGTGTTATATCATTTAATAACAAATAATAATTATGCAATAATTGTTGCTTTTTTGAGAAATTCTCATTAGTAGAATCTTCTCTAGGGTGATGTAAAAGACACTGAAGAATCTTTTTAGTTTTATGAGCAGAAATGCTTTCTAGATACATCTTATACACTGCTTCATTTGAAAAGATCCATGTTTGTACTATACATTTACTTCATGTCAAAAAAACAGTAAATATTTACTTTTCTTATAAGATGCATCAGACTGTTTTAACTTAGATGATAACTGTTATTACTACATTGGACTATGTTGTCTATTTAAGAAATATATGACTAAATTTTGAATTTAAGGCTAAATGTAAAATGTAGTTTGTGATTTTTATTTACAAATTGATAACAATAACATATTTCATTGATACATAAGTAATCCTTGTTAAAAGAGTAGTATGACAATTATATATTTTTAAAAGCCTAGATAAGCTTCTATATTCAGTGTGTGGAAACTGAACATTTTACTATATTATACATGCATTTCTGGAAATCTTTGTGGTTTACAAATTCATAATAAATTAGTAGGACTTACGTAACCTTGTAACTAGAACTCTAATGAAAATAATAACAGTTTCAATAAAAATGTTTATACTTTAAAAAACATGAAATTTTTCATGTTTTCCAATAAAATAAACACTGCAATATATATAGGATTTTACTTAAAACACAAAAGGTAGGTTGATGGAAGCAGTGTTTGGAAGGGTTGAGGCTATACATGGGCAGAGGGACATCATAAGAAGTTGCAAGTACAGAGAAGATTTCAGACTGTACAAAATGTTAGTAGATGTGTGCTCTACCTATTGTTTTGTGTTACTAATTTTATTTATATATAACTAATTCTTTGTAAACAAAGATCAGGGTTAACCTTGCAGTAATATCCTCGAAGGGAAAGGTTGAAATATATGATTCAGATTCCTTCCTGTTAGTGTATTAAGCCAGCAGTTGCTATTATTAATGAGGTCAAACATTAATGATCTGGGAAGAATTACAATCCATTGTAGCTTCTGTTGTATTGGGAAATCCTTTCTACATTTACCGATTATCTGTGAACTAATTCGTATTATAGAAACAAATACTGTAGTAGACACATCCTATTCAATTGCAAGGAGTTTTGCTCAGAGCTTTTTTGCCTCGGGTGTTTCCTAAAGCAGTGAAGGCCTAGGATGGTGAGGGGGTGCATATTGGAATATTCTTTGTGTCTGAAAATGTTCTTTCTTCTTTCCTATCTTTCTTTAAAATGTTGGTCACAATGTAGCTATTGTTTAAGCTTGCTATTTAGTAATGTTAAAAGGTGTATTTATTTAATAACATTTCTGGTCAAGCAAAATATTTGCTGTCATAAGCTATCAGTATTATTAAGTGTATGTTGGTAACATCATACTGTCTTAGTGGATTTGAAAACTAATGGTGGTGATTAAGGTAGATTTTTTTGTACCTTAAAATTGACTTTTCATTAACCTGTGTGATGGCCTACTGAAATAGGCTTAACATAAGTCGCGCTATTTTATAATGACATATCTATTAACAAATCCATTGGGGCAAAGGTTCCTTCATCACAAAGTTTCAAACAATCACATTTAAATGTGTTTTAACATGTTTTTGGAAATAACATTACATCTTAAAGTTGCTAAAATATTATAGAGTTCCTATACATTCCCCTAATATATTTTTCCACTTTATTGAGGCATAATTGAAAAATACAATTGTAGGATATTTTGAAATAAACAACACGATGATTTAATAAACTTGTATATTGTGAAAGGATGCCCCCATTAGGTTATTTAACATAACCATTACTTTGCATATTTACCTTTTTTTGGTGAGGACATTGAAGTACTACTCTTCTAATGAATTTCAGTTACATAGCTCTTAGTCATTAATACCTGTTATACCTAGGGTATTCTTAAAACCTATTAAGAATAGGTATTGAATATTTTATTTTCTATACAATAATTGTATATAATATATAGTTGTATATGCTTACTAGATAATTTTTAATTTATTATATAAATTACTTATATGATGTGTATAATAACATATTGTAATATATACATGTGTAACATAATTTATAAAACTTTTATAATTTTTATAACTTATTATGTGGTGTATATTATTATTTATTGTAGCTAACTTATAATGTATAATATATAACTTACTATATCATTTTTCAAACAATTTAGACTTAATTGAAAACAACCGATAAACTGGTCTCCATGTTATACTTTAGATCCTCAGGCCTTATTCTACTTATTATCCCAGTACTAACGTTATTTGCAACCATAGTACAATTACTGAAATGAGGAAATTGATAATAATATAATACAATTAACTAATCTACAGACCTTATTTGAATTGTACTATTTTTTTTTTCACTAATGTCTTTTTTATAGACCAACATCCCACCCAGGATCACATATTTTGTTTTCACTTTTCATGTTTCTCTGATCTAGTCTGGTGAGTGATAGTTTTTCAGCTGTTCTTTGTTCTTTTTGTCCTTCACACTTTTGAAGAGCAAGCCTCACCTTTTTACCTTTTGAGGTCTGTCTGTCTGCAATGGAGAGACTTTGCTGTTGATTACTGTTGCTGAGGATGCTGCAGCAGTGGTACTAGTTGGGGAGTGGATAAGATAGGGCTGGATGCAAAGAAATCTTTAAGGTACATGACTTTTTAGTTTCTTGGAACCATATACTTGGGTCATGACTCAGGGTATCCATGACTAAGATACTAAGAGTATCCAAGTTTATAGCTTTTAAGAAGCAAGGAGAGAAATTGTGCAGATGAGGGGAAAGGCAGTAATTGTAGTTGTGATAGAAAGGAAGGAACTAAGATTAATCACAGATCATACTGTATTGAGCCAGCGTTCAATTTTAAAGTAGGTTACATTGAGGGAATTTTCACTTAATGAGCATCCAGGCATTTTAGGCATTGTGCTGAGTGCTTTGTGTTTGCTCTTTTTATTTAATTATAACAATTTGTCGATATAGTTATTTTTAGCACAATTAAACAGATTTAGTAAGTAAATGACAAGAAAATAGGAGAGTCAGAATTTGAACCCAGGTTCATTTGCCTCTCAACAGGTGCTGTCACATATGGTAGACATATGTGACCACTGAGCACTTGAAATATGCTACTTGCTAAAATGATAATACATTTTGATATATTAATGTATTATTTAAATTAATTTCCTATTTCTTCTTTCCTTTTATTAATGCAGCTAATAGAAAATTTAAAATTACACTCTTGATGCACATTATATTTCT